CGTTATAAGTAACGGTCAATCCCACTATTCGTTGGTAAAAGAGTATCCCAAAAGCTGGCTGTGGGTGGTGATGAATAGCTGCCTTCCCACTGCTAAATTAGGGACAGCTAACACAGAAAGCCCTCGTATAACTTTGCGCGAAATTCAGAACAAACACTAATTTTAAACTTTAACCAGAAGGAAGGCAGTCAATCAGCAGCACCCTACCACCCACATCGAAGTTAAGGGACTAACTGTCACCCTTATAATGCACCACATTTTAAGGTGCGGGGAATATGTTTTGGTATTGTATGAATTCAAATCGTCAAGATCAAGAAAGTTTATGAGAGTAAGCTTAGAAAGTTCTAAATTTGATGTCACAAAAATCTAGTAAATTAGAAGAGTATCAAGAGATAATAGTAGATTATGAAAACGAGAATCAGTGAAGCATTTGAGTCAACTTGCTCTGTTTTCAGTTGATAAAACCAGCAGTGAATCAATCAGTTGATTTTAGTGAAACACTTTGATCTGTGTTAGCTATCATGTATATTCAGTTACGTGATTTGATAAGCTGTAAAATTGTACCAACAAGATTATTTTTTCATTAGTTATAATACTGTAGTAAGGTATTTCCAGTAGAACATAATTGTTAAACCTGAGCCTACAATTTACAACAGTTTACGAGCTTGTACAAACGTTAACCCTCATCAGCACAACTGGGGTCCACATGGACCCCAATGAGTTTCTTGGTTGTATGTATTTTATATAATCATTAAACATTTATATCCAATCATGTATTTGTCAAGCAGAAACCCTGGATCAATATGACACTATTGTTTTCGAAATAAGCAGACGGAGTATGTAGCTTGTTTGTTTGTTTTGAATTTCGCGCAAAGCTGCACGAGGGCTATCTGCGCTAGCCATCCCTAATTTAGCAGTGTAAGACTAGAGAAAAGGAAGCTAGTCATCACCACCCACCGCCAACTCTTGGGCTACTCTTTTACCAACGAATAGTGGGATTGACCGTCACATTATAACGCCCCCACGGCTGAAAGGGCGAGCATGTTTGGTGGGACGGGGATTAAAACCCGCGACCCTCAGATTGCGAGTCGAGTGCCCTAACCACCTGGCCATGCCGGGCCGGAACTTTAATGAAATAAAACGTCTTGTTATCGTTAAATGAACTATATTTTATATTACTATTTTTACCGAATAATCCAGAACTCGGGTAAAAATAGAAACTCTTTTACCAACGAATAGTTGGGCCAAGAGTATGTAGCTATAATCTAATATTTATCTGGGGTCCATGAGGACCCCATACTATCATTGACCATCACTCTACATGCAGTCCGCCCTATAACAAATGAAACAAATTTCTAAACGTCTAGTTCACTATATAGACTGTTATAGAGGATAATTCATCAAAGTAGTACAGTATCATCTCGTCTGTTTACTTATAACATCATTGTGATAAGCATGTATGCGCATCTCATTCCTCAACAAGTGTTCTCTGTGATGGCTACTTATAATGTCCTATTTTATAGAAACATTGTTTTATAATTGTTGTAAATAACTTGTTTATTGGATTTTCAATCCATAGTCTACTGTTGGGATCTGGTCGAGCCCAAGGTGACCCACAGCGTACACTTTCAGTTTTCTTTGAGTTCAATTTTCCAGTATTGTGGTAATCTCATCATATATTGATATATAATGACTTGAATATAGGAGTATGATAAAACTTTGGCATTTTTTGATACACTGTTTGTATAAGGAATGGTTGAATACTACTTACTTGTATATTTGGAACAATGTAATTTCTTCATTTGTCAGCATATTTCTTCTAGAATATATATATATATTTATGTTGTTCACATTGCATGTTAACCCTAATAAAGGTTGCAATGAAAGTGGTTTTTGGAATTTCAATCCAGAGCTTACTATAACGGTAATTTTATTCTGGGGTTCAGTTGGAACCAAGTGTTCCATGACGTAACTTTCAAAGGTGTGTTGATGAAGGTAAAGGAAGAGATATGGTAATTTGTTATTGTTACGTGGACTGGGGCATTGTGGCTCACTGGCTTCATGCTTTGGACTCGTAATCAGATGGTTGTAATATGCAGGTAAAGGAAGAAATATGGTAATTTGTTATTGTTACGTGGACTGGGGCATTGTGGCTCATTGGCTTCATGCTTTGGACTCGTAGTCAGATGGTTGTAATATGCAGGTAAAGGAAGAAATATGGTAATTTGTTATTATTACGTGGACTGGGGCATTGTGGCTCATTGGCTTCATGCTTTGGACTCGTAGTCAGATGGTTGTAATATTCAGGCTCGTACGGTACTGTTGTGTCCCCAATTATTTCAGTCTACCCAGCTGTCTGGTAAGTACCAGCTATTTACTGGGGTTAACCTATGACGTACTGCCCTCCTATCCAGGGGATAGTGCTACCATTTTCATCTATTTGTGCCAATTAAACCAGAGTTCAGCACTGTATCCTATGTGCCATTTCAGCATGGGAAAATTCCTCCTTTTGGCGTGGACTGGACTGCAAATTATTTTTACCAGATAATTTAAAAGAACTTGTCCAGTGAAAGAACATCGTTAAAACACTGATGTAAAAGTGGAATTATCCCGGTGAAAATAAAATAGATCTTTGAATATACTTGATGATGGACTTAACTGCTTGAAATGACAACCATATGGTCAAGAAGTGAGGCCTAATTGTTATTGTGCAGGATGAAATTATTAAAAGTAGATTAAAAAGAAAGAGACCGAACATTAGTAAAAAGGCAGGAACTTAAAAAAAAATCCAAGAAGAAAGTTACAGAAAATTAAAATATGATCAAGAAGAAATTTATAGAAAATTTAAAGGTGGTCAAGAGGTAAGAGACGGAAATATAAAAGAAAGAGACCTAATATTTACAGAAGTTAAAAATAAAAATAAGTCTGATTGTAGTGAAGATCGGTAAAGCTATTTGAGAAATATAGATGGATTACAACAACAAGGCTGAAGAAATGCAGAAGGACATCAAAGAATTAGAGCAAGGTTTTAATGACCAAATTGACAAAGTGAAGAAAGGTATTTATGAAGTATGGAAATATTATAACACCAAGATTAATGAAGTAGAAAAGTAACATCAGGATGGAAGAAATGAACAATAGAATATAATAAGTATCTGAAATATAACTTGGAAGAACATATTGCCAGAAACTGCAAAAAAAAATTGTAAGGAATGAAAACTCTTCCCAAGACATATCAAATATAGGGAACTATTAAGTTCCAGTGAAAGGAAAGTTAGAAGTTACCCTTAGTGTAGAAACTTTGTGGGTAATTGACGTAAAGGATGAGGGCAAATTTGGAACTGATTTCATGTGTAAACATGGATGTGAGGTTAGACAAGATTCAAAGAGTTTTACAGTCTATGACCAGAGAGATGGAAATGCCATCCCTACTATCTTGTTTACATTGATTTTGAACGATTGATATTAGCCATCTCTATATTTACTTCCTTCTTTTGATAAGTTTTTCTTTACTTAATTAATTAATCTTTAACTTATTGGGGTAGTACCACATAAAATCGTGACTTAGTAGTTGGTCGTATGTTTGAATCCCGTCACTATACATACTCGCCCTTTCAGCTGTGGGGGGCGTTATACTGTGACGGGCAATCCGATAAAAGAGTAGCCCAAGCGTTGGCGGTGGGTGGTATTGACAAGCTGCCTTCCATCTAGTCTATCACTGCTATGGACAACTAGTGCAGATAGGCCTCCAGCAGCTTTGCGCGAAATTCAAAAAACTTAAAATTCCTTGTGCAATTATATAGTTTTGTTGTTTGTATTACAAGGAAAGGCGTGGTTTTCTGTTTGTTAATGCTTACTCAGATTTGAAATCTATAAAAGGGGTGACACGAAAAGTTACGTACGTTTCGAATTGGAAAGTACCACTGTTGAAGGTGAACGTCCCCCACCCCCAAGCCCCGCCGATTTTCATTAACAGAAAATCAAAACAAAAACTAAACTTTTCAAAACAAATTTACAGTGAAATGCCAACAACAAAACACAGAACTCTCAAAATATGTAAGTAACTACAATTATCTTACATAAGAAGTTTCTTCATCTCTTTGTAATCCTTTTCGTAAACAGGACTAACAGCTCACGGGGTTCTCGTACCCTTACGTTTTGTGACATCATTCAGAAGAACGTACTTCACGGTGAATTAGAACTCTGCTATTGGCGGGAGTTCAGCGAGGCACAACGCAACGCTCCTAGCGGGAAAACCGGTTTACACGTGCACCTCTAGCGGCAAAGTGCGGAGCAGCCCAAGCGACACGAAGTGCTCGGTGGTACTTACTTATAGATAACCCAAGTACTGGTGGAGGCGTACAAGGAGCAACAGTTTACCAAAGATCCTAATAAACCTCAGATTATCGAAAAATAAGATTTACTTCGGGGTTTTTGATATTTTTCATTAATTGTCGGTGAAAGTAAAATTTGAACAAATGGCTGGAGAAGTAAATGCACTACCCCAAGTTCAACAAAAGGAGACCCAAAGCACCACACATTCAGCTGCTGTGACGGCCACTGTTAAGACCGAGTCAACGGGTGTAGGAGAAGGGCTTAAGCTAAACCCATGGTATTTCAAGACTGTTCCAGGTATATTGAAGCTTGTCCAAGTGGTAAGTGGAAAAACACCAGCCCGTATTCTAAGACCTTCTTACGAAGTTCGTATATTTACAATACTGTTGTTCTCTTTGATTCGTGATGATTTCAACCAAAAATTGATCCAGTAAAAGGTGATTATTTAGTTATTGAGATTTAATGTGTTTTATACCTTTTCTCCCATAAGTACACCTGATCACACCACCAACCCCCATGTGGCTCAGCGGTACGGGGAAAGTAAAGTAAAATTTGTTAACATATATTATCGGTGTTATATAATAGAAATAACCGATGTAATAATATTAACTTTGAACACTGAATTATCACTCTTCCGTTGAGTACTCTTCCTCCCACCCCCCCGTAGCTCATCGGCAAGCCTGGAGATATATATCGCTTAAAACCGCGTTTCAATACCTGTGGTAAGCACAGCACAGATAGCCTATTGAGTAGTTTTGCGCTTAACAACAAATAAATAAAAGCCTTATTTTTTTATTTTACTTGCAATTTATTTTAAGTTTCTGACTTTTGCACTAAAGCTAGCTCTTGGCTACTTTTCTTAAAATTAAAGAATATTCTTTTTCAAATTAGTCGTCGTATTAATGTTGTTCAAAAATTCAGATTGTCATAGTTTTTAATTATTCACCACCTAAAATATAGTTCGTATTTATACTACAGGAACCTTGAAAATGTTACATAAGATTTTTAATATCCACGCCAGGATTTTATAGCTTTACATAAATTAGCACACGTTTCAATAATATCACAACGTGTTGTTACTAGGCTAAAGTAATATGTATGTCGAAACTCTAACCCAAGATGTAGAAGGGGCTAATAAGAATGTAGCACATTGTGTTTTATCGGGTGTATGTTAATCACACGTAATGACTTGCTAATATAATGATGTAAAAAAAAATTAAAATAAAGTCCCATGGAATTAATGAAGGCACAAGCTTGGTCACATCCTAGATGTGCTATTTCCCTAAATGGATGTTATTCCACAAGATCGTTGTCACAAGTGTTCTTCTTCCTACTTGCTCTGACGTCACTAGGTGAAGGGGTGTGGCCGTCATTACCTTGTTTACAGCCATTACTTTTCCAGTCAAACAATCATTACCCAATGTCAGTTTTTTTTTTTGGTTGTTTTTTTTTTCTTCTTACTATTATGGAAAACTCGCGAGAAATTAAAAGTTTGGGCTGAAACGTTTATTTCTTGCAGTGTACAACAGCGTTTTGTGGTCATAAGTGGCTATATCTTTACATGATGTGCAGAAAAACCCATAATCAGCATCGTGGGAAATTTCTCATCCTGCAAGTTGACGATGTTAATCGTTTTAGATGTGTATAAACCTGGTACATCTATACTTAATACTATGGCCAGGTGGTTAGCGCACTCGCAATCTGTGGGTCGCGGATTCGAATCCCCGTCCCACCAAACATGCTCGCTCTTTCAACCGTGGGGACGTTATAATATGACGGTCAATTCCACTGATAGTTGATGAAAGAGTAGCCCAAGAGTTGGCGGTGGGTGATGAGGACTATCTGCCTTCCCTCTAGTCTATCATTGCTAAATTGGGGATGGCTAGCGCAGATAGTCCTCGTGTAGCTAGCTTTGCGCGAAATTCAAAACAAACCCAAACTTAATACTATATATCATTGTTTTGATGATATGCATAGACATAGTGCACCTATACTTAGTACTATATATCATTATTTGTATCATATGCATAAGCATAGTGCACCTGTACTTAGTGCTAAATATCATTGTTTTTATGATATGCATAAACATAGTACACCTATACTTAGTACTATATATCACTGTTTTTATGATATGCATAGACATAGTGCACCTATACTTAGTACTATATATCATTATTTGTATCATATGCATAAACATAGTGCACCTGTACTTAGTGCTAAATATCATTGTTTTTATGATATGCATAAACATAGTACACCTATACTTAGTACTATATATCACTGTTTTTATGATATGCATAAACATGGTACACCTATACTTAGTACTATATATCATTGTTTTTAGGATATGTTATTGCATAGACATAGTGCACCTATACTTAGTGCTATATATCATTGTTTTTATGATACACATAAACATAGTACATCTATAATTAGTACTATATATCGTTAAAGGAGATTATCATGCTAATTACAACCGACTGTTTTGCTCCTCGGTAATTATTTTTTTCACTTTTAAGAAAGCTTCCTGTTATTTCAATCATCCTGTCTCGTTTACTCTTTGGTCAAATTTCTCGTTACCGATAGTTTTTGTTGTTGTTTTTCTATAACACTACAATCATACTCGAATGTTACTTGAAAAAATATCTTGTTATCAGAACGTTTCGTGTTTTTACAACTATTCTGTAAACGTTACTTGAAAATATATCACATTATGAGAACGTTTCGTGTTTCTACGAACATTTTGTAAACGTTACTTGAAAAGATATCACAGTATGAGAACGTTTCGTGTTTCTACGAACATTTTGTAAACGTTACAGAAAAGATATCACATTATGAGAACGTTTCGTGTTTCTACGAACATTTTGTAAACGTTACTTGAAAAGATTTCATATTATGAGACAAAATGTTCGTAGAAACACGAAACGCTCTCATAATATGAAATCTTTTCAAGTAACGTTTACAGAATAGTTGTAGAAACACGAAACGTTCTCATAATGTGAAATATTTTCAAGTAACGTTTACAAAATGTTCGTAGAAACACGAAACGCTTTTTACAGAACAGTTGTAGAAACACGAAACGTTATGATAGTATGAAATCTTTTCAAGTAACGTTTACAAAATGTTTGATGAAACACGAAACGTTCTCAATGTGATATATTTTCAAGTAACGTTTACAGAATAGTTGTAAAAACACGAAACGTTCTCATAATGAGAAATATTTTCAAGTAATGTTTACAGAATAGTTGCAAAAACACGAAACGTTTTGTTACTTGAAACGATCTCTTGTTATAAGAGTTTCGTGTCTGTATAATGTAACGTTTCTTGATAAGATGTGTTTTGTTTTAATAAGTTTCATGGCCCTAAATTCACTCTGTAACTTCGTTATTTGTGTTGTTTGGGGTTACAGAAAATTTACCTTGCATCACTTAAACACCCGATTTCTGCACTAAACAGAAAACAAGGGACATTAATCAGATATCTACCAATCATTTGATATTATACAGTCAACAAGGGCTTGTTTCCCATAATGATCACCTGATAGCAATACGTTAGATAAGTAATAGTCAAATAACAATGCGTATTCAATATTATCAGATAATGTACTAATAATGACGATATACAACCAACAATATCAGATACCTCCTACAGCATGACTTCACACAATCGACGGTAGCAGTTTCCTGACAACAATGTGCCAGTATACTAACAAAATACTAAATTAACAGCGTTCCTTTAAAGTGTGTAGACTGGGCGATATCAGATACTGTACTAATCACGCAGTAATAGATTGTTAACAATATTACGTTTCCAGAGTTTATTCTGGAAAGGCACGTGGTCATCCATGAGCTGAATGGCGTGCTTTTTATTATTATTATTGCACGTCAGCACGGCGTAAAAATAGAAGTTGATATATCATCAAACAAAAACTAATTTTTTAACTGTTTCACTGCCACATGAATATAGATTTAGGGAACACGTTACCCATTCTTCTTCTTGGCATTGAAAAGCATTATATGTTCCGATAAATAATTACGCGCAATAAACTCAATAATTTTGTAATTAAAAGATCACAACTATTGCATACTAATTTCCAAATCTTATAAATAAATATAGGAATGATTCTTTATACAGTACTGTTTATGCTTTTATGTGTGCGTATGTATGTTTTAGCGCAAAGCTACACAATCAGCTGTCTGCGCCATGTCCGTCGCAAATATCGAACCCCGAATTTTAATGTTATATTACCGATAAGTCATTGAAGGACTGTACGTATCTAAAAAATAAATCTGGAGGAGTTATCTATAAAAATGGCGGTGATAGAATTATTATTTTTCTTGACACAAGTATTGAATCGGTAAATATGATAATAAAAAGTAAACCTTTATATTTCAATCTTTACCTACTCAGAATGGAGGAACTAAAGTTTTTTATTTTCAATTATCTGACTTAGGTTTATGTAATACGGTAAAAATGTAGAAGTACTGTAAACCAGCTGTAAAAGTTTTAAAGCAGGGAATGAGTTGTAAACAGCTACCTTGTTTGGACTTGTAAATCCCGAAACTACCTGCAATTTTTACATACGTGATATTACCGTGACAGACAGCACTGATACAGAGGTCAGGCTGCTTATGTAGTGCACCTAGATTGAAGATGAACTTATATACATCTGTTTGTTTCATGTAAGGCGGTTTAGTTCACATACATACACACACACACACACACACATTCAAAGAACCAAGACGGGTTTCTTGGACTCTTCGAACTTCACTTGCGCAAGAGTCAAATACGCACGCTACGTTTTCTCGTGCTTGTTGCGAGCCTTAGGGTGGTAGCTCGCATGGTATGCGTGTTCACGAGGCCCACCAGCACGGTCCAATCTATCTAGTTTATACACCTCCCATTTCGGCTGCAAGGTTATACCTTAGCCGCGGCGTGCCCCGGATGTTTTGTGTGGAAACTACCTGTGGCTGCGTCATTACGACAAATTGTACAATAAAATAATGATAGTTACCAGCGGATCGGAGAACATACGTATTATATATGCATTACTGCAATGTTGCTTAGTGAGCTTTATAATAAATTCTTTTTCCTTTTATATCAAATACATTATTTCCAAAACCGAGAGCACAACTGTACAAGTAAAAACGTTTGTGTTATATTCCAATCACAAGGGAGAATTCTTTCCTGACTGAGATTTTTTCGTAATTTTGCAATGTGTTATTGTGCTTTAGCAAACAAATTACAAAATAGACAATTTTTGGCCAAATTTAGCGAAAAAAGTATTTTGTTTGGTATCATAACTGTTTGTTATTTATTT